AAATAATCCTTGCTGAAACCTTATCTCACACTTCTAGACTCCAAAATTGTGAGAAAATAAGCTGATGTTATTTAAGATATTTAGGCTGTAGTACTTTTTATGGCAGCTCTAGCAAATTAATCTGTGGTATTTTAAAACAAATTTTCTCTCAATAAAAATGGCATTATGTTAAGATTTGATGATTACCCAGTCAATATTATTAAAGATTTTAAAGCTGTTCCAAGAACATGATCACCCACTGAAAGATAATAAATCAACTTAGTAATGCATCTTACAAATTGTCTAGGTCAATGCACCCAGTTCTAAAAGATCTACACCTTTTAGAAACATATATGCATCCTAGTTATAAAGGAGATTCATTTATAAGTAATACAGTTACTCTGTATTTTAAATAATACAGTTGTTTGGAGAACAATGCATAAGGTTGAAAAGAATGTTGAATTCAAAATGCAGAGGATTCTCAAAAAGGCCTCAATTTTTCCTTTTCCCACCATAGTCTTTGGCAGGCAGTCAGGGGAAGAATCAACAGCAGTAAGTGAAGTTGGTTCATATTTTGTCATTTTGCTGGGAGCTGGGGAAAGAAAACCAAAGGAGCCCAAGTTCAATGCCAAAAAACCTGAATTTTGCCTATAGCAAAATTCGCAGCAGGACTCCTAGCTAAAAAGTGGATTGTTTTCTGGAGGCAGCACCTTAGGTAGACCATATGGTCTCTCCCAAAGGTGCTGGGAATGTTCGTCTTCAGTAGCATAGCTGCGATAAAGCTACTGTGTCATTCTAAGCATTTTACTAGGCATTTGTAGATTCACTTCATAACAGCTCATTTTTCAGCTGGTTGGGGTTATAATTACAGAAACTGACCCTGTCTCCAAACCTAGAAATTCTTCATATCCAAAGAACTTAATTTTAGTCATTTTCTTTATTCAAAACTGACAAGCAGGGAGGATTCTACTGTGATAAAGCCAGGATTCTGATATTTTCAAATGCTTTTTAAATTTGAAAAGTAAACATTCAGAAACATGAAAATGATTTGGGTTTATATTATATTCTAAATATGGGTTAACTACACTGAGGTATATAAACACACTAATTGTAATTGTAAATTACCATGTTGTGCACGAAAACAGACATATGGCAGGTGTCTTCACTTACTGTGCTACACTACAGCTCTTTAACATTAATGGGCATCTGATTAAAAAAAAAAAACCCTAATTCTTAGTGATGTCTTTTTAACTGATATGTCCCAATACTCTCCGTTTAGAGAATTAGCCTTTTCTTTACAAAAATAACAAGCACAACTAAAAATAATAAGGCTAAATTTATTCTTCTAAAATGCTGCTTTCTAATGAGAAATTACTATTTTAGAGGCAACAAAGACTAGAAGGATGAATATTTTTAGGAGCCCTAGATTTCATAGACCCTTCCTTTAGAAATATTTCTTGAACTTTTTATTGTAAAATATGTATGCCACCAACTATTTATATGTATTTCAATATGCAATCAAATGTTTTCCTTAAAAATAAAAAATATCATAATGTGTAATACACTGCTTTGCCTCTCTGAATAATCTACTCTATAATTTATGTTTGCCAAAAACTCTAGTTCTACTCTTAGACCCCAGAAGCATTCTCCACACAGCCACTAGAAAACAAAAACAAGTGACAGAAGTCAAAGTAAAAATGGGGGGAAAAGAACAAAAATGTATCACTCAACTTTCTAATTTCAAAGCTTACTATAAACCTAATCTAAAAGTTCCAGAAGGATAAACATCAACCAATGAAACAGACTAGAAATAACACTCAGGTCTATGGTCAAACACTTTTTGAGAGGGATGCCAGAAAATCCAATGGAGAAAAAACATTTTCTTGAACAGGTGGTTCTGGGAAAATGGGTATCAATGTACCAAAGAATGAATTTGTGAATTTCCATAAATAAATATTAGCTCAAAATGGATTAAAAACCTAAATTTAGGAGATAAAATTAAGTAACTTATAGAATAAAACACACGTGCAAATCTTCAAGACCTTGGCTATGACAATGGTTCATTAAATTTGATCCCCAAAATACAACAGAGAAAAAAATGCTTCAATTTGACTTTGTCAAAATTTAAAACATGAATCAAGGAACTGCCAAGAGAGTACAAGGAGAACACATGCACTAGTAAATATCTGCAAATAATATATCTGATAACGGTTTAATATCTACATCATTCAAAGGAAAGGCAGCCCAATTAAAAAATGGGCAAAGGAATTGAATAGACATTTCATCAAAGAAATACACAAATGACTAGTAAGCGCATGAAAAGATGTTCAACTGACTAAAAGATGCTTAGTCAGTAAGGAAACACAAGTCAAACCTAGATTGAAATATGTACTCAGATGGCTATAATAATTAAAACAAACAAACAAACCACACAACCTAGAAAATAACTAATGTAGAAACCAGAACCATGGGCATTGCTGATGGGAATGTAAGTGGCACTATCACGGCAGAAAACAGTATGGTGGTTTTCCAAAATTTAAATATACAATTACCATATGAAACATCAATTCCACTCCTAGGTGTGTATGTGTCTGTCTGTCTATCTACCTATCTAAATTGCCAAGAAAACTGGAAATAGGAACGCAAACATAATTTTACATGCATGTCCAAAGCAGATTATAGTAACCAATGGGTGAAAAACTAAGCATCCACCAACAGATGAACTTAGCCTTTTTGTCATAAAAGGGAATGAAATTCTGATACATGCTATGTCCTAATATGCTAAGTAGACTAAATAAGACCCAAAAGGACAAATGTTATGTGATTCCATGTTATGACATGTCTGCAATCGGTAAGTTTATCCAGATAGAAAGCACACCAGGGGCTGAGAATGGGCAACAGGGTTACTGCTTAACTGATAGTGTTTCTGTTTAGAATGATGAAAATATATTGGAAGTGGAGAGTGCATAATAGTTGCATAAAACACTGAATATAGTTAATGCCACCAAATTAGACATTTCAAATGGTTCCAAATGAAAATTTTGTATTTCTATTAGAAAAAAGTTAGAAAATGAGTTTCTGGAGCCTCAGAGAGACTAAGAAAGATACATGACTAGATGGAGGGGGAAGCCTCAGTCATGCTTATATTTTATGATACTAAAATTAATCCTGGAATTGGTGTCAGATCAGGACATAAATTTCTTACTGAGCTATAATCTTATACCCCAGAACCATTCTCCACACAGCCACTAGGAAACAACAACAAAACTACCTACCTAAAAAGAAAAATGAGAGAAACCAGAAGAAACTAGAAAAAAGCAGTGGATAAAAGTTAAAGTTAATTAGGAAATAAAAAAGTAGTAAATAGAATAAACATCAAAAAGCTTATTCTTTGAAAATACCTGGATACCTGTAGATAAATTCTTGTAGACTAGTTATGGGGAAAATAATGTAGAGAAAGCACAAAAAGGTGAGATCAAAACACAAAAACAATATATAAATTCAGATACAGTGGTTGAATTATAAAAAAAATTTCATGTAGTGTGTGGCAGCAGATGTGAAAACATAGGATGAGTGATTTGTTTAGCATGTGATGACCAAAACTGACCAATGTAGAAGTGGAAAACTGTAAAAGTTCAATTTCAAGGAGAGATTAGAAAAGTGATTTAAGATGTACTATTGGAAATGTCTCCAGGGGAATGCTGGATCAACTCACAAATATCCTCTGAAAAGTATATCTGAGCTAAAAAGAAAGGTAAATTCCCAGGGAGTAACTTAATAGAGTTTAAAACCAGACAAGTAAGCTCGAAGTAGGGCAGAGTTATTACTGTCCAGCTTACTGATCTGAGTAGCAATGGAGTTAAAACATCTACCCGATGATCTCACTTATATGTGGAATACAGAGAAAAACATAGCAAAGGGTCAGCCAAAACCCAACCAGTTATAAACTAGTAACTATGGACTGTAGGACTGAGGGAACCCAGAGAGAGCAGGTGCCCAGTGGAACGTAGTGGAGGATTACTGGGGCACTGGTGGAAGGCAGGGTGTGAAAATACACTTTTGTGGAGGTCTGAATCTATACTCCCTCAAAGCAAACACAAAGATACAAAGATGTAAACCTATGTCACTTCAATAAACAAAAATAAAGTTAAATACAATGACTGTGGCTGGACATAAGATAAACCCTTAGGGTTGCATGAAGTGAAGTGAAGACCCCCACTTAAAGCTGAGACCCTCTAAATGAAAAAAGTGAATTATAAAAAAAGTTGGCATATGGCCCTCCCTGGTGGCGCAGCGGGTTAAAGTACAGCACTGAGAATCTAAAGCCGCTTCAGCATGAGTTCGATCCCCGCCTGCCCTGGAGGTGACCACATGGTGTGGCAGACCTCTCCTGACCCGCCCGCTGCTCCCCTCAGCAGTGTATTTCGTGCCTGTTCTGTTCCCCACTCTGTCTCTGGTGAAGCCTCTCACCGCCCCTGAGCCTCTGGCCTGTACCCCAGTTCTGTATGCACAAATAAATAAATCTTAAAAAAAAAAAAAAGTTGGCATATTTTAAGAAAGGGGAGAACAAGATCAGTGTACTCTTTTCTCAAACCTACCATCTCCCCCAGCCAGTGCAGCTATTAAATCAGGATTTTATGTTTGTGTTTACTCCAAGCTTGTTAGCTTGCTTTGACAAAAATGGTATACTTAAAAAGGTCTTGTGACTTAAAGTTTTTTACTCGACATAGTATTGATAAAGAAAAAAAAAACACCCAAATTTAATGATGATCACAGTTTGGAATGACACACAATTTTTTTATTAAGAGCAAAAAAATAGTCAAAGTCTGTGTGCTCTGTGTATAACTAACGTTAGGGAAAAACACAATAAATTTGAACTTCTTTCCCCCAATTTTTCCAACGAGACCCCACCCCAAAACCCGAAGTATTCTAAACGTCTTAAACAGTAAATGGAACTTTTGCTAAAAACCAAATGAACCCGAGACTGGTTTTCCCAGCCTTTCTTCTTCAGGACAGGTCCCTTAACTGGAAAGCCTGGGGAGGCCTAAAGCGGTGCCTGGGCCAGAGAGAAGGGCTCCCCCAGGAGGGAAAGGGGTGGGGGAGTAGGGTGTAAAATAGGGCCCTCCACAGTGGAAGGAACCGAAATGGAGCCCCGGGGCCAGGGGAAAGCACACTGCCTCCCCTGGGAAAGGTGGTTCAGCCGGCCCCACCTCTTGTGGTGGGGAGAAATCATTGGTCGGGGGGCCCATCTTGCTCCGGTTATAGAACCAAACCCGGACAAGATCCTTTTGCAGTCCGAGTTGCCCGGCGATGCGGCTGATTTGTTGGGGCGTGGGCCTCGGGCACTGCCGGAAGAGTTTCTCCAGGTTGTTTTCGATGCGTCTCTCCCTGCTTGCCCGTCGCCGCTTCCGAGCCTGCTGCAGGATCATCTCCATTTTGCATATGCCCAGCAGGTTCTTGGTGTCTACCTCTTCCAGCCACATTTTCAGTAGTGGTCGCAGCTTCCACATGTTGGCGAGGCTGAGCTGCTGGGCCTCGAAGCGGCAGATGGTGGTCTGGCTCAGCACCTTTCCAAAAAGAGCGCCCACTGCAAACCCTACGTCGGCCTGTGAGTAGCCCAGGGTCATCCTCTTCTGCCTCAATTCTTGGGCCAACTGTTTCATCTCTTTTTCTATGGCAGAGACGTCCTCTGGCAGGGCCAGCTTTGGGATGCACCGCAGGACAATGTAGGGCCCTTGTAGGGAGCTCTCGGAGGGGTTTGGCAAGCAGGCCCCAGCCTCGTCTGCTCTCAGCTGGGGCTCAGAGGGCACCACCCTACCCTGGAATTCACACAGCTGGGGGTTCAAGGGTACCCCCCACACTTCTGGGCCTGGGCAGACGCCCGGTCCTATCCTGGGTTGGGCCATCAGCCTGTCAGGGGTCGCCTGGGTGCCCAACGGGATCGGAGCATCAACCCGCACTCTCACTGGTCCTTCAGGCCCGCCCCCATCACTGAGAGGTAGAGGGCATAAGTTTGAGGGCCTGTGTCCAGCCATGGGGTAAGACCGCACCCAGAGCGGGGAGTCTGGTAGGAACTGATAGCTCTCGAGGCTCACAAACAGACACCAGCCTCGTCCTCGAGCCCTGCCCCCTAGTGGGTAGAGCTGGTGGTGCAGGCAGGGAAAACACGGAGTGTGTGTGTGAGAGCGGTGGTGGGAAAATCTGATAGTTAAACTTGTAATTCTTTCGGTGTCCAGATTTAGGGGGTGGAGTCTTCTACCAAGAACTCTGCTTCCCTCTAAAGGGCAAATATTTCTTTTGGATTTTGCAACTTCAGGCTGTGTGGGACCCCTCACACTGTTTCCATTTATTCCCTAAAGGGAACCTGGGCATTTATTTACAGCTTTTTAAGAAGACTTCTGGTAATTTTTTTCACATAATATGAACAGTGATTTTAGGTTCATGAATATTTGTTAAACATCTGTATGCCAGGCACTGCTGTGGTTACTCCTCAGTTTACTATCTGTCCCCTACTTTATGTTCACAAAAGTCTGTCCTTTGCACATCTTCAGTCCCTGTGAACTAAGAAACATCAAGTGTCTCTGCTTGAATTTCTAGTTAGTATCAGTTTACTTTTAGATTCTAAACGCCATTCCCACACTCTGCCAGATTCCACTTTCTCATGGGGCTGAATTACTTGATTTAAATCCTGTTTCTCCTACCAGTCCTTCACGTGTTGGCTCCCCATCCGTGCTCAGCTTCCAGGCACTGGGTCAAGACCTGTACCTCCCAAAACTGGTCTTCTTGAAGTCACCAGTAGCCTTTCAACTGTCAAATCTGAAGACCTTTTAAAAACCTCATCCCATTAAACTTTTCTGCAGTACCTGGCAAGCTTGACTTTTCTTCTTGCTCTCTCTGTTCTGAATTTCCATGAAGTGCTGGTACCAGCCAACCCTACATTTTAGCTCTGATGTCTTCTTAATTTTTCTGTTTTTTATTTCCCACTGTCCCAAATCAAATTCATTATACTTTTAACCCTGCTTCTCCTCTAGGGTTCCCTGAACTGGCTAATGGCATTATCACCCATTCAGCCCTAAACCCAAGAGTTGCTCTTGACCATTAATTCTCATTCTTCACAGGACATTACATCTTATATACTAGGTGCCCTAAAACATCTAAACTCTGCCATCTCTTCTCTAACATCTAAACTCTGCCATCTCTTCTCTACTGTCTCCTTTCAAATTTACCCTGTGAACTGCTGCTAGTTTAAAAGAAAAAACAATAAAACAAACCTAGTCAAATTCAACCAAACCAAATAAAACTAACCATGGTGCACTTCTAAAATTTAGCCTATCTTTCTCCACTCAGCCATGTGGACATTCAGATTCCTGAGCACAGAAAACATGGCTTTTCATCATTTGGTCCCTTCCTCCGTTCTGTCCAGCGTCACCAACCACACTGTCCCCACCTCTGTATGCTGTCTTTCCTGCACTCCATGCAATAACTCATTCTGCCCTAATAAAGACACACTTTTCATAACCACTTCTTCCCCATACTTCTTGATCTTGGTTGTTCCTATTTTTTGGGATTTTCTCAAATGAGATGTCTCATACGAGATGTCTCATCCTATATCACTCTCTATTTCCTTTATTTATATATATATATATTTGTATTAGCAGGTATCACCACCTAATGTATAATAATGTATAATAATTTGTCTATTTATTGCTTGCTTCTTTGCTGTCAAGAGAGCAGGGACTTCGTCTAGTTCACTGCTGTGTCTACAATGCCTGCCATTGTGCTTGGCTAACAGGAGGTGTTCAGTACATGCTTTTGAAAAAGTGCAGCAGGCCCTCCCTGGTGGCAGAGTGGGTTAAAGCACAGCACCGCAAGCATGCTGCAGCTGCTTCAGTGAGCATTCAATCCCCAGCCCCGGAGGTGACCCACATGGCCCGGCAGACCTCTCCTGACTACCTGCTGCTCCCCTCAGCAGTGTACTTCCTTGATCTACCTGTTCTGCTCCCCACTCTTTCTCTGGTGAATCCTCTCACCCCCTGCACCTCTGGCCTGTACCCCAGTTCTGCATGAAAAAATAAATCTTAAAAAAGAAAAAGTGCAGCAAGTTGTATTTCTGGTCACCTTTAAGATACAATTTAGAGGCTCCGTATAGGGAGGGCTTACTGTAGACAGTTAGTTGCTGCTTCTGTCGCCCTCTGCTTATAATTTGATAGATGTTTTTTAGTAACATGTATCAATAATTATTTCATGGCTCTCTAATTAGAGTATGAAATACTCAAAAGTAGGTATTATAAAGATTGGAAGTAACAGAACCCTGACTGATACACTGTGCAATAAATGTTTGCAGAAAGAAAAATGAGTCCTTTTATAATTCTGACAGTAAAGCACATTTTGTTGCAGCATAGTAATCATAATCTTGACTCTTCCAGGTACCTCTTGATCCTCTCTTGTGCATTAGAGCAGGCCCTTAAGCCCTTACTGGAAGGGAATAGTAGCACCACAAGCCTAAATTCAAATCAACACTAGAGATAACAAGGTTATAGAAATGGCTTCAAAGCAATAGAAAAGGCAAAAGAAAAACTGAGAAATTAACTGTTATCTCTACTGGCTGTGTATTTAGTTATTTGTGTATCTGCATCTTCACTGCAACTGTGGCTAAAATGTCTGCTGGTGAAGAGCAAGGTCCTTGTCCGACCCACTGCAAGATCCTTAGCACTGGCACAGAGTAGGAAGTTTAATGTTAAGTAAATGAATCTCGGAGGCAGTAGGGCGCAAATACTTCCACATTTACCTGGAGTAGATTTCACTTAATAATTTTGCGGCTATCCATTTTTGCCAGGTGTACTCACATGCTCTTTTTCTCAAAATTAGAAAGCAACCAGTGGCTGCTAAACATAATAAAAGATCACAAGAAATAATAATTTAATTAGGTCCACATATTGACACAAACCCATCTGCAACCGAGAACTACAGAGAAAAAGTTCATTGTCACAAAACAATAGCTGAATAAAAATCATTTTAGTGAATTGGGAAAAAGTGAGTTCAACTGAATTTGAGGAAAATTTATTATACTCAGTTAAAACCAGTAGTTAAGACATTCACTAAATTAAAAATTAAGGCTATATTAACTTAATGGATTTTAAAATTAACTTGGGTGCTTTCAATTAAGGGTCTCTTTGTACTTGGTCAGATCTCATCTGTTAGTGGGCCTACTTCCTAGTTTATGCATATGGTGCTGTCACAAATAAAAGCTCATATTCTTAAGGGAAGTTTTGACATCTCCTTAATGTGCTATGGAGATGGGGTGATTAGGGGGAGGGAAAAAAGCAGGAGCATGTTATTTGGTTGGAACAGAAATAGAAAACAGAGAAAGGCAGGTGATGGGAATGCCCAAGACAGCCAGCTAGGGCTAGGGTGCTTGAAAGGCTAATCCATCACCTTCGCTAAACACAGAGACTGCTCAGTAACTGTGATTAGATTACAATCTAAGAATCGGGCCAGTCTTACCCACAGAGAATTACAAAGTAAGAACAAGAAAAACATGGTCCCAGTTTCCTGTGTATTTATAACCTAAATGAGCGAGAAATTGTCAGCAGAGCAGGACAACTATACTTGCCCCAAAGAGAAGCTAACAGTTTCTTTTACTAGGATCTTCGAATTAAGAGAGCTAGTTTTAGGCAGAAATGCATGAAGTCTCAGGATTTGTATTATTAGGCTCTCCGTATTATTATTCTCTATTCTAAGACAGCAATTATGAGCTACCAAGATCCACTGGTGGTAGGAAGAAGGAAAAAGTGGATGGAAAGTTAAACATAATATCATTCTAGGGCTTGTTTCAAGTTTCCTTTCTTGGGAAAGGCTTGCTATAAACTCTGATGCCTCTCCACCCATGTCTGGACTGCCTGCAAAAGCTGGTTGGAGTTTCACTCTTCGCTATTCCCCTAGAAGTTATGGAACCCCCAAATTGACACTATAAATAGCATTTATTTTGATTTTACATGCCAAATGATGTGCTAATATATACTGCTTTCCATGGTGCTCCGAGTTAATAAGTGCACAAACCACACAGCTGTGAAAGGATCTGGTTTTGAGTTACAACATTCTTCTCAGTTATATCATTGGCTGGGAAGGTGACTCTTGCTTCCTTATTTCTCCAAATGCATCTTGCCCAAAGCTGTTCATGCTCCAGATAAGCAGACATGGTTTTGTTTAGGAATTTGTGAGTTTTAGATCTCTAGCAGAGTCTCCAATGTTCCCATCAACAGCAGAACAGAAGATATAAAATGATGTGTAAGTCAGAGAGGGCAAGACAGACTAGTTGCTGCATATTTTATACTTTCTCCCACTTTGCATGTTTCCTAGTAACATAGCACTGGCCAGGCAAGAGGGAATAAGGGCACTGTCACATGAAGGGCAGGTGTAGGTCCCAAAAAGCATTTCATGGAGCAAGACAGAAACCAAAGACAAGAGACAAGATCCAGAAACAAGTTACTGGGAGGTCTTGCTCTTGGTTTCAGAAGGGAAATCAGGAAGTTAGCAAAACCATGGGACTGAGTACAGTAAGGAAAGACCCTCCTATCTCACAGGGAGAAAATTAGCATCACACTTTGTAACAAATGCACTGGAAACTGTCTCAAAATCTGAAATGATGAACTGCTAATCCTTTGTGGACTTTACAGGAAGAGTGGGACAGTGAAGATATGCAGTTAAGAAAAACTGATACCTCAAGGTAAAGTACATATACTAAAGAACGCTCAGTGGTAATACGAGGGGAAAGTTAATGAAATCAATGTAGTCACTACGTAGGACCAATTTTGATTCTGTGTGATGAATTCGCAAATAGATAATATAAGCACTCTTCTATGAACACATTGGTGACACAGAGGACAAGAACTCCATGGAAGGAAAGCTGCTTGTGAGTGAGAGTAATAGGAGTCGCTTTTGTTCTTATAAAGTGCGTAAAGGAAAATTAGAACGGATAGTATTGCCAACAGAATTTCCTTGCTATTAACTGTGTAATATAATGACTTTAATTTTA